GGTGTTGCTTGGATGCGTCTGCAGGATGCCATGCTGCAGCGTGTGTCTGCTACGGCGGTCTTGTTTTCATGTAAGATGAGTGCAGTCAGTTAGTTCAAGGGACCGTAATTAGCCAAGAGCCATTCCGTCTGCGTTGGGTTCTTTCGTTACCTACGGCGGGCCTGAAAGGGTTGCTTATGTGTGAGCAGGAGAAGTTAGATCATCACTATTGCGTTGCTGCAAGTGATGTGATGACTGAAACAAAACTCATGAACCTGCGTCCATCATTTGCACTACTCGAAGTAGAAACTGGGTATAAACTACAATATATCAGCACTTCTCCACAACACTCACCCACTTCTGCTGCACACCCCTCTTCTCCAACGCTTTAAGCACAGCATTCTTCTGCTGACCCTGCACCATAACACCCATGACGGGCTTCTCATGCTTCTTCGCAGCACCAGCAATCGCTTCCACAGACGTACTTCCCGCACACAACTTTCTCAACTCATCAGCAAAATCCTTGGGAGAGATAAAATAATTCTCCAATCCAGAAACCCTAGTTGCCTTGCGATTTCCACCACGTTTTTCCATCACGATGTTTATCTGAGGCGGTGGTCCATTGCGGATGATGGCTTTATCGCTCTCGTCATTGCGTATGATACTGTGTGCTGGACTCATGGATTGTCGGATTCGGTCGAAAAGAGCGTCTCTTGACATGCGAGGTCGGCTGTCGTTGCTGTCGCCGCTGATGATATTGCTACTGCTTGACCCGATGGCAGTTGAGAGGATGGCATCGAGATAAACCATGCGAGGCTGGGACGGGACGATTAGACTCTCTTGTTTGATATACTCGGCTAAAACGTCTCGGACTTCGGATAGGGTCAAGTGGACAGCCCCAACGGGGAAGAGAGGCCGCTGCGTGCCGGTGGATTTGTAGTAGTTTATCACTTGGATCTTCTGGCCGACGGAGTTGTCTGACTGTTCCTCGCTAGGCTGTGGTTTTTCCGTTCGTTCAGCGGAGGCTTCAGGCTTCGGTAGGCGGTAGGGAACAAATTCTTGGACTGCCGTCTCGTCAAAGTCGATGTCGAGGATGACTGTCTCGGCCTTTTGATCTTTGCACTTGACGATGCCCTCTTTGTCGAGACTTTTGATAAACTTCTTCATCGACTTCCAGCTCGTTTTCTTCATCTGCAGCTGGGCCGCTTGTGCGGGGGTAAAGGCGGGTAAGAATGGGTTGATAAGGGTGGACATAACGTAGGATTGTGAGAGGGGATAGTCGAGGCCGAAAGCGTCGTCTCTCTTATGAGTCTTCTGCTGGTTGTATAACCCGTACAAAAATGCGTTGCGAAAGGCATTGTCTATTGCTTGTTGGGTCATGGGTTTTTCGGGGACGACGACTCCGCCGTCTTCGTTGTCTTCGTCAGATGCTCCCCTGTCTATCTCGCCTGACGCGTTGGCATCTTGTTCTACTCCATCCGCTTCGCTTGCCACCTTTACTGTACCCTGCCGCCAGCCCTCTTCAGGTGGTATCTGTCCAGCTCGGCCGTTTGGACTCCAATCCCATAATTCATCGCCATACCAGTGCATGTTCTCTACAGCCCGACCGCGTATACCCTGCACTTCATCCAAGGCAGACACATCGACGATACAGACACCCACAGCCAGAGGTACTCCAGGCCGTGCAGAGTCTGCAATCGCAACAATGGCACCAGTCTGTGCCCCTGCGGGAAATGGCGGTCCCCCAACAAGACCGGGCGTCATCAGATCTGCGCCAGACTGCAGCTTCTTGATGACATTCTGGGGCGTATGCAGAAGAGGCACCATTCTAGGGTGACGCCAGAGGGTGTAGACGGTAGGATAGATGCGGTCCGCAAGCTGGAACCAGAGTATGCGAGGGTCGGAGCCATCGTGGCTGCCTATATAGAAAGTCCCACTCACAGGCTCGAGGTCGGGACCGTGAGTGGTTGTGAAACGAGCTGACTGGACGTTCTCGGGGAGGACCGAGTTCCTTAGACGGGCTTTGGATTGAATGTGCTCGTCTTTCTCATGATCTTGTAACTGTTGAGTCTGAGTGGGTTGGTCGCCGTTTGATTGCCCATTGATCTTGGAGCCATTCGTATTATCTGCTTCTAACTTGGAATGTTGTAACTGAGAGCCATCCAGAGACTCCGGTTCAAGATGGAATGTATCGATCAGCTGGTCAGCAAGCTTGCGACGATCAGAAGAACGAAGCGGAGCAACGGGCTTGACTTGGGGTTTCTTTTTGAACATATCGATTTCTACGCTGCGTTTGTTTACAGAACCGTTAACATCATGACTCGCGTGACGTCAGCGTTGCGTCATACGTGCGAGTCATCCAAATAACATGCGCTAGATGCACCAGCACAGCAGGCAGCAAAAGCCGACTAGTAATTATATAGAAACAGGCTCGATGGTTCGTAAAGATGTATTAGCAATGCCATGGCAACAGTTTTGGCTCCCTCCGGTATCGTTTCCTCGGACTCGGCGCGACAGCCTCCATCACATCCAGCTCGCATAATGCCTGCGAAAGAGCTTGACTATCAGCGCCCCCCCTCCATTGAAGAAGCTTTCTCCTCCAAAAGGGCTTCAAATCCCCATCGACACCATAGGGATCTGCAACAATAGCCCACCAAGCCAATGCGTCCACGACCTGCTCGGCATGTTCTACATCCATTTCAAACCATTCCGAATGCACCGATCCGCAGGTGGGACTGTCGCTACACGAAGTGCTCTTCCTCCTGTACGAGCCCAGTTCGGCGTGTATCAACCTCTCCACCCGCAAAGCACAGGGTACACGTCTGATTTGCCTCAAAGGCTGTGGCACGAAGCCGCACAGCATCTCGATGCTGAATAGCCGCTCGTCAACCACTTGTCGAGTATACCCAATCTTGAGAAAGCCAGGATCGGATTCTCGTCGGAACATGTACAGATTCCCGCAAGGAGACTCGTGCTGTCCCAGCGGCGATAGCATCGTTTGAGCGAACGTCTTGTCTGAGCGCTTAGGTGTGTATTGGATAAATCGCTGTAGTGATGGGGGAGGTATCATGCTGTGGCCACCGAGTTCGTGAAGCCATTGTCGAGCTATCTGATCTAGACGGCCTAACTCATCTGCACGCCTTCGATGCGCTTGCTTGCAAACACATAGGGTAGCATAGAGCTTGAGAGTTGGTAAGAGCTCGTCGTTGGGTTTGACAGTTGTGATGTCAGTGCGAAGCTTGGCGGCTAGTTGGCGGTCGCTTCTGTTGATAATGTGGCGGCAGCGTGGCCCTTTGATGGTTGGGTGAATGCAGGTAAACCCGATGTCGCTTGGAGAGAATGACACAAACTTGATGGACATGTTTCTGGGTGTTGATGGGACCCGCAGAGGCGGGGGCAGCCTTATGTATCTGTCTGGAGGAAAGGATCGTCGACGCAGCAATCCGATTTGGTACCCAATCAGCTAAAGCTATCCTTGCAACGTGTGATTACAGTCATAGATGGAAAGGTTGAGACCAGGTAGACCATGGCCCAGGTACTATAGCGAATCGACTCTCGGTCAGCGGAAGAAGTCCTTGATAAAACACCACAATGCCAACAATTAGTAGTAAATAGTAAGTGATGGTTGGAATCAAGCCACGAGACGGCGTTCCAACACGACCAGATAAGCGCGGCACGCCCATGTAGTTGCAAAAGCTGTGCGTGACGATAGCCGCCGGGAGGTTACCTGTTCGTAAGATGACGAACGTCGCAAACATGCCAAAGACGGTTGTATAGCTAAACTGGAAGAGGCTGGCAAGAAAGCCGATGACCCAGACTCGGATCGGGGGC